ACTCAAACCTAGATTTTCTAACCTGAAGTCCATTATTTTCTTCATTAGAATCATGTGATTATTTATATAATGGTCATTATGGTAGACAGAATGGCTCCTCAGAAATGTGTGCAGCCATATCCTTGGAATCTTGGAACTATGTTACCTTTTATGGCTAAAGGGACTTTGCAGATATGTTAAATTAAGGATATTAAGATAGGAAAAGTGTCCTAGATTATCCAGGTGGGCCCAGTACAATCCCAGGTGTCTGTATACAAGGGAGGCAAGAGGGTCAAAGTCAGAGACAGGAGATGTGACAGTAGGAGCAGAGGTCAGAATGATGTGCTTGAAAGGTGGAGGAAGCATCCTTAAACCAAAGAATGAGGTTGCCTGTAGAAGCTGGAAAAAGCAAGGAAATGAATTATCTCCTAGAAGGAATGCAGCTTTGCCAACACCTTGGTTTTAACCTGTAAGGTCCATTTTGGACTTCTGACCTCCAGAACTATAAGAGAAAAATTTGTGTTGTTGTAAGCCACTAGACTTGTGTTAATTTATTACAGTGGCAACAGGTAACTAATATAGTAATAATTTATTGTTAGACTGTGTCTGTGTTGTATAGACCTTTAGATACTACCAGATGGCATGGTTTCTACCTGTTCAGTTCCCACGTCATCCTTAGTCATAAATTTTAGGGTAGTAATGATGTAGTTTGAAAACTACCTACTGATTGATTTCAGTACCATTGATGTGGACACTGAATAAGTGTCTGTTGGTTAACTGATATACATTCTGGGCTCTATAAATGTGAATGTCCAAAATCAGATACAGAGACTTAAGATGGCAGAGTAGTAGGAGGACCCTCTGCTTGTCTCATCCCTCAAACACAGCTAGGTAAATATCAAATCATTCTGAACACTCAGGAAATAGATCTGAGGACTGACAGAACAAACTGCACAACTAGAGGGAGAGAAGAGGCCACATTGTGGAAAGTAGGAGGTGCAGAGACATGATTTAGGGGAGAGGAGAGTATATATACATGGGATTGCACAAGAAAAACACTTCCCCCAAAACACTGGGAAAATGTGAGGGGCTGATTAACATGAGTTTTTACAATCAGCAGAGCTCAAAACCTGGAGTTTTAGAAGTCTATGCCATGGTCAGTGTGGAGCCCACTGGGCACAGCAGTCTATCTGTTAGATAGACCCTTTTCTTATGACATTGTGTCTTTCTTCATCTCTTGTTACAGTTTTTGGTTTAAAATCTAGTTTGTTGATATAGGTAAGTATGGCTATTCCGGCTTTCTTTTGAAATGAAATGAAAAGATGAAATGAAAAATGGTTCTCCATCCCCTCACTTTATTTTTTTTTTAATTTAAATGTTTATTTTTGAGAGAGAAAGAGTACGAGTGGGGGAAGGAGCAGAGAGAAGGAGACACAGAAACCGGAAGCATGCTTCAGGCTCTGAGCTGTCAGCACAGAGCCCTATGCGGGGCTCGAACTCACGAACCATGAGATCATGACCTGAGCTGAAGTTAGATGCTTAACTGACTGAGCCATCCAGGTGCCCCTAAGAGCTAGTTCTTTAAGGAATTAATAAAATTGATAAACCCTTAGACTTACCAGAAAGGAAAGAGAAAGGATACAAAGAAATAAAATCACAAATGAGAGAGGAGAGATCACAGCCAACACCACAGAAATACAAACGATTAATACAGAATACTATGAAAAATTAAAATTAAAAATAAAAGATCTGTACTCTGAAAGCTGTAGAACTTATGAAAGAACTTGAGGAGGACACAAAGAAATGGAGAAACATTCCATGCTCATGGATATGAAGAACAAATATTGTTAAAATGTCTATACTACCCAAAGCAATGTACACTTTTCAATGCAATCCCTATCAAAATACCACCAGCATTTTTTTCACAGAGGTAGAACAAACAAACCATTTTAAAATGTGTATGGAACCACAAAAGATCTCGAGTAGTGAAAGCAATCTTGAAAAAGCAAAGCTGGAGGTATCACAATTCCAGACATCAAGCTATATTACAAAGCTGTAGAGATCAAGACAGTATGGTATTGGCACAAACACAGACACATAGATCAATGGAACAGAATAGAAAACCCAGAAATGGACCCACAACTGTATGGTCAACTCATCTTTGACAAAGCAGTAAAGAATACCCAATGGAAAAAAGACAGTTCCTTCAACAAATGGTGTTGGGAAAACTGAATGAAAACATGCAAAATAATGAAACTGGGGGCACCTTGGTGACTCAGTTGGTTGAGCATCTGACTTCAGTTCGGGTCATGATTTCACAGTTCATGGGTTCCAGCCCCACGTCAGGTTCTGCACTGACAGCTCAGAGCCTGGAGCCTACTTCACATTCTGTGTCTCTCTCTCTCTGCCCCTTCCCCACTTGTGAGCTCTTCTCTCCTCTCCCTTTCCCTCTCCCTCTCCGTCTCCCTGTCATGAAAAGATGCTCAACATCACTCATCACCAGGGAAATACAAATCAAAACGACAATGAGATACCACTTCCAACATGTCAGAATGGCTACATTTAACAACATGGGAAACAATAGATATTGGTGAGGATGGGGAGAAAGAGGAACCCTCTTATACTTTTGGAGATTTCTCAAAAAGTTAAAAATAGAGCTACCCTATGACCCAACAATTGCACTACTAGCTATTTACCCAAAGGATACAAAAATATTGAATTGTGAGGCATATGCACTCTGATGTTTGTAGCCATATTATCAACTGTTACCAAATTATAGAAAGAATCCAAATGTCCATCAACTGATGAATGGATAAAGAAGTTATAGTATATGTATGTGTGTATATATAATGGAATATTTATCAGCCATCAGAAAGAATGAAATCTTGCCATTTGCATATGACATGAATGAAGCTAGAGTGTATTGTGCTAAGCGAAATAAGTCAGAGAAAGACGGATATCAAATGATTTCACTTATATGTGGAAATTTAGAAACAAAACAGATGAACATAGGGCAAATAAAAAAAGGAAGGGAGGCAAAGCATAAGAGATTTTTAACTATAGAGAACAAACAGGATTCCTGGAGGGGAGATGGACAGAGGATGCATTAAATGGGTGATGGGTATTAAGGATGCGCTTGTTGTGATGAGCATTGGGTGTTATATGTAAGTGATTAGTCACTGAATTCTACTGCTAAAACTAATATTGCAGTAGATGTTAACTAACTAGAATTTAAATAAAAACTTGAAATATTAGGGGCACCTGGGTGACTCAGTCAGTTAAGCCTCTGACTCTTGACCTTGGCTCCAGTCATGACCTCACAATTTGTTAGTTTAGCCCTTCATTAGGCTATGTATGCATTGTCAGTGCAGAGCCTGCTTGGGATTCTCTGTCCCTCCCCTGGTCACGTTCATTCTGTCTTTCTCTCTCTCGCTCAAAATAATAAACAAATAAATAAAAAAAAACCTGGAAACATTAAAAAAAGGTAAAGGGGAGAAAACTGTTAAAAGCAATTTTTTTTAAATATATGAAATTTATTGTCAAATTGGTTTCCATACAACACCCAGTGCTCATCCCAAAAGATGCCATCTTCAATGCCCATCACTTACCCTTCACTCCCTCCCACCCCCCCATCAACCCTCAGTTTGTTCTCAGTTTTTAAGAGTCTCTTATGCTTTGGCTCTCTCCCACTCTAACCTCTTCCTTCCCCTCCCCCATGGGTTTCTGTTAAGCTTCTCAGGATCCACATAAGAGTAAAAACATATGGTATCTGTCTTTCTCTGTATGGCTTATTTCACTTAGCATCACACTCTCCAGTTCCATCCACATTGCTACAAAGGGCCATATTTCATTCTTTCTCATTGCCACGTAGTACTCCATTGTATATATAAACCACAGTTTCTTTATCCATTCATCAGTTGATGGACATTTAGGCTCTTTCCACAATTTGGCTATTGTTTAGAGTGCTGCTATAAACATTGGGGTACAAGTGCCCCTATGCATCAGTACTCCTGTATCCCTTGGGTAAATTCCTAGCAGTGCTACTGCTGGGTCATAGGGTACTCTATTTTTAATTTTTTGAGGAACCTCCACGCTGTTTTCCAGAGTGGCTGCACCAGTTTGCATTCCCACCAACAGTGCAAGAGGGTTCCCGTTTCTCCACATCCTCTCCAGCATCTATAGTCTCCTGATTTGTTCATTTTGGCCACTCTGACTGGTGTGAGGTGATATCTGAGTGTGGTTTTGATTTGTACTTCCCTGATGAGGAGCGATGTTGAGCATCTTTTCATGTGCCTGTTGGCCATCTGGATGTCTTCTTTAGAGAAGTATTTTTGCAACTTCTTGTGAGTGTATAGTTATTTCAAAATAAAAAGTTCTTTTAAAAAGCAAAAAAAAAAAAATCCAGTACAAAAAATGACCTCATGATCTTTGTGTGAGGCTTGTGAACTCTGGGATGAGACTTGTTTGTTGTTTCCCCATTAGATACATGAATTCAGTGTGTAATCATCTCCAGTGAGAGATTAATTTAGTAGAGATGGAAAATATCACCCTGATAGGATTTCTCAGGGGCCTACATGGAGTCTTAAGTGAATTTGTGCAATATCTCAACTCTAGATATCTGCTGATCAATATTCCCTATTCCTATCACCTTTGCACACATATGCAAATAGTCTTTTTTTATTTCCCTTAATATTTATCATTTTCTTTCTTTGTATTCATTAGCATCCTGTTTGGCTATTGACAAAGGATAACATAATGACTTCACTAAACAATTTATTCATAAGACAATAAAATATTATTTCCCCTTGTTTGGGAAGATTGAACTCTTTCACTACTTTATAAAAGTTATAATGGATTTTATTTTTTGAAAATTTATTTATTTACCTTTGAGAGAGAGAGAGAGAGAGACAGAGAGAGAGAGAGCAAGGGAGGGGCAGAGAAAGAGGAAGAGAGAATCCCAAACAGGCTCTGCACTGACAGTGCAATGTGAGGCTTGAGTTCACGAACCATGAAATCATGACCTGAGCTGAAATCAAGAGTCAGATGCTTAACCGACTGAGCCACCCAGGCGCCCTGAAGTTATAACTGGTTTTAAAAAGGGAGAATTAGAGAAATTTGAACAACTGTGCCAAGGCCCTATCCTAATATGGCATTAATGCCTGGGGTAAAGTTCCTTCCTCCCCAGTGAGCAGGGAAATTCCACTGGGAACAGGAGTGGGGAAGAATAGACAATAAGTGATATATGATATGACATATAATATGACATATGTATATATGTAATATGTGATATTACATGTATCTATAATATCTCTATATAGGTATATATGACATGACAGATGGTGATAAGTACTGTGGAAAGAAACAGGATAAGGAGGAGCAGGAGTTGGGGTGTATTTTGTATGAGGTGTTCAGGGAAGGGCTAACTTAGTGACATTTGGGCAAAGGCAAGAAGGTAATTAAGGTTCAAGTCATGCTCCCAGGGGAAGAGTTTTATGGACAGAAAAAGCGTAGGGCCCTGTGGTAAGAGCTATTTGGTGCATTTAAAGAACAGCAAGGAACTAGTGTGGATGGAATGGAGTGAGCAGGGGAGACAGGTATAGAGGATGAGGTTAGAAAATGGTGGGGGGTGGGGTGCCTGTGTGGCTCAGTCAGTTAAGGGTCTGATCAGGTCATGATTAGTGAGTTTGAGCCCTGAATTGGGCTCTGTGCTGGCAGCGTGGAGCCTGTTTGGGATTCTCTCTCTCTCTCTCTCTCTCTCTCTCTCTCTGCCCCTCCCCTGCTTGTGTGCATGCGCGCTCTCTCTCTCTCTCTCTCTGTCTCAATAAATAATTAATAAAAAAAAAAAGAAAGTGGTGAGGGCAAGGTCTTATATCATAAAACAGTAGTTGGGTAGGAAAGTTTTTTTTTTAATGTTTATTTTTGAGAGAGCGCAAGCTGGGGAGGAGCAGAGAGAGGAGGACAGAGGATTCAAAACACTCTCTGAGCTGACAGCAGCTTCAGCACAGTGAGCCAATGTGGGGCTCAAACTCAAGAAATGGGAGATCATGAGAACTGAGCCAAAGTCGGATGCTCAACTGACTGAACCACCCAAGTGCCCAGGGTAGGAAAGTTTTGAGGTGTGAGATAGGCTAAACTGTAAGCTTGACCAGGCACAAATAACAAAGTTATTTCAGATGTATTATAAATCAGGCAAAAGAGAAGATAGAGAGTATGCCTGGCAACCCTAGGCTAACACATCCTCATTTGCTCCATGTTTGTGATAAAATCGATGTAATGGCAATAAAAGAATGACTAGGAAGAGAAGTCAGATTTTAGTGCAGAGTCCATAAAGTTCTTATTACCATATGCTTATTATGTGTCAGGAATATATTGAGCACTTGAAATACAGTATTTCTTTAACCCTCACTAATATCCTTCCTTTACAGGTGAGTTACAGAGAGGGTAGGCAGCTTTCCTTAAATCAAATCAGGGTTTCACTTCAGGTAGTCCGGTTGCAGAGTCACACGGTAGGCACCCAATGTGTGCCCTAAACTAAGTACCTGTTAGGCGAGGCAAAGGTGGCCCTTTCAACTTTGCCACATCCTAATAATTTGCTAAATTCTGTGTATACAGCTGGCTTTGGAGTCAGCACTACCTGTGCATGAGATTCCCCATGGTGTAGTAAAGAACCTTCTTCTCGAAACTAGTGGCTGAGTATGATCATGATGAATCACTTCTTAGGAAGGTGTTAAGGAGGATCCAGGGTTCACCCATGATGTGTTCAAATCCCATACCCACTGCTGGTCTCATGTGAATGAGCACTGCCAAGAATGCAAAGGTTTTGTCTGACATTACAGCATCTGATTATGTGGGAGCATGGTGGGAATTATGGCACCCAAGAAGTCTCCTCTCAAGAATGCAGGAAACATTTTAGGGTGATAAGATCCAAGAATCCAAGGCCATTGAGTCTGAGGTATCCCCAGCTATTTTTCCAAGTGACATTGCCAAAGAAAATAGAGTTGAATGGAGGTCACAGTAATTAGATGTTGTTTCTTTTTTTTTCTCTCAAAAAGGATGGGGATAGCTATGTCACCACAAGGCCTGGTGTACCCATCTGTTTTTGATTAGGAAAAGAGAGCCATGGTGAGGATTATGGGAATAAGAGACTTAATATAGGAATCATAGATTATGTGACTGTGGGAGGAGCTGAGAGAGTGAAGGTCTCCCAAGAACTGGAGAAAAAGTCACTGTGAGGAAATTCTGGAAGCTGTCATAACTGGCCACTGTGACTTCCTAGGAATGGCTCCCTCTTTGCTCCCACCCTCCACATTTCACAGAAGTTTTTTTCATTGGCAAACTATAATCTGGATTTATATAGGAAGGGTTTCTGGGAAATGTAATTCTTAAATTTAGAAAGGCATGGTGGTGGTGATGGTGCCAAGTTTGTAGTATAAAGTGTGGCAAACGTGCAATCTCCAAGAATGCAAGGATCAAGTGATGAAGAGAGTGATCCACAAGCTTCTCTAACCAGTACCCTCCACTTTTTGACCTGCATCCTTATACAACACTTGCTGCTCAGAATCACTATTTGGGATCTGTCTTACCGTCTACACACAGGAAATCTGTCTATACACAGAGGAAATTGTTCAACTCCGCTTCCACTCAGACATTGTTTTGCTTGTTTGTTTGTTTTTACCTCCAGTTCTAAACTATTAACACTTTCATTGAGTGGTAAGTCAAACACCAGTCTCACTCTCAACTTTTAGAGAAAATAATGATCATTTCTTAATTTCTTGTAATCCTTTGGAAACTTACCTCTTTCTGCACTTCTGTTCTCACATTCTCTTCCAGTGGAAAGAGAGGTTTGGTCCAAGGTTAATTGTTGGTGTCCTGGGTCCCAATCCTCCCATATTTTCATGGAACTGTCTTCCTCTTATCTGTCAATCTTGCTCTTTCTCTTTCTCTCCCATTTCTCTATGTAGTTCCTTATTCTCCTTAGCATAAAAAACATGTTCAGGTCTGTGCCATATTAAAAACAATTTCTTCCTTGACCTCATTTCATTTCTTTATTTTCCTGCAGAGTGAAGCTCCATGAAAGAGTAGTTTCCTCTTAACTCTTCCTCCACCTTTCCTAATTTTACTACATACATTTCAGTGTAACTTTGATTCCCTTTCTGCCACACACCACTGCAGTATTAAAATCAAGGCCACCTTAACTGCTGAATTCAAAGGCCATTTTCAGTCCTGGCATTTTCTTGGTCTCTCTGTAGCATTTGAACATTTGACCCATCCTTGATATCATCTCTTCTGTTGACTCCTGCAATATACCAGTATCCTCTAATCTCTTATTTTTTTCACACTTCATTGTGATATTGTCTTCTTTCCTCAGTGTACCCTTTAAGGATCGTATTCTCCTGTGCTCCATATGAAACCCTCTTCTTTTATTTATCTGTACACTTTTTATAACTTATTAATATCCATGGCTTTGATCTTAACCCAATTTGTCTTCCTTTATGATTTGATTATCTTTTTGGTAGTGATATACTTTCATCCCTTTCTCTTTCTCTTTTTTGTATCTATTGTAGGTTTTTTCTTTGTAGTTACCATGGGGCTTGAATAACACTTCTTATTATAGTCTATTTTGAGCTGATAACAACTTAACTTCAATCACATATAAAAAGTCTACAGTGTTACCACTTCTCCCCTCCTACACACTATGTTATTGATGTTAAAATTTTCTTCTTTTTATATTGTGTATCCATCAACCAGTTTTTGTTGTTAGAGTTTTTCTTTTTTCTTTTGGCTTATATAGTGATAATTTATTTGTATAGAATACATTTTAAAGGATGGAATATCAGGTTCAAAGACTGTATGTATTTTTAATTTAATAGATGTTGTTACATGGCTCTTCAAAAAGGCCATAACAATTTACCTAGCACAAGGTATGGAAGTGCCCGTTTCTTGCATCCCAGCCAGCAATAAATGTTATCTGTCTTTTGAATTTTTTCTTGTTTTACACTGGGAAGTGATATCTCACTGTTGTTATAGTTTTTCTTAATATTTTTGCTTGTTAACTTTTATACTAGAATTAAACATGATTTATGCACCACTGTTAAAGTATTATGTTATTCTGTATTTGTCTATCTATATATACTTAGCTTTACCAGTCAGATGTATACTTTAATATGCTTTCATGTTTCTGTTTAGCATTCTTTTTTTTTTTTATTAAAAAAAATTTTTTTTTCAACGTTTATTTATTTTTGGGACAGAGAGAGACAGAGCATGAACAGGGGAGTGGCAGAGAGAGAGGGAGACACAGAATCGGAAACAGGCTCCAGGCTCCGAGCCATCAGCCCAGAGCCTGACGCGGGGCTCGAACTCACAGACCGCGAGATCGTGACCTGGCTGAAGTCGGACGCTTAACCGACTGCGCCACCCAGGCGCCCCTGTTTAGCATTCTTTTATTTCAACTTGAAGAGCTCTCTTCAGCATTTGTAGTAAGACAGGTATAGTGGTGATGAGCTCCTTCCTTTTTTGTTTGGGAAAATCTTTATCTCTCCTTCATTTTTAAAGGACAGTTTTGTTGGGTACAGTTTTCTTGGTTGGCATTTTCTCTTCTTTAACACTTTGAATATATCATCCCATTTTCTATAGTTTCTGTTGAGAAATCTGCTTATAGTTTTATGGGGGTTCTCTTGTATGTGACAAATTATTTTCCCCTTGCTGCTTTCAAAATTATCTCTATGTCTTCCACACTTTTGACAGTTGAATTATAATTTATCTTTTTTTAAAAAAATTTTTTTTTCAACGTTTATTTATTTTTGGGACAGAGAGAGACAGAGCATGAACGGGGGAGGGGCAGAGAGAGAGGGAGACACAGAATCGGAAACAGGCTCCAGGTTCTGAGCCATCAGCCCAGAGCCTGACGCGGGGCTCGAACTCACGGACCGCGAGATCGTGACCTGGCTGAAGTCGGACGCTTAACCGACTGTGCCACCCAGGCGCCCCAAATTATAATTTATCTTAATGTAGACCTCTTTATATTCAACCCATCTGGGGTCTTTGATTATGAATTTGGATGTCTGGCTCCCTCACTAGATTTGGGAAGTTTTCAACAATTATTTCTTTAAATAACCCCTCTGCACCTTTCTCTTTATCTTCTCCTTCTGGAAATCCCAAAATACACATTTTGGGTTGTTTGATGGTATCCCATAAAGTTCTGTTGACTTTCTTTACTCTTTTTCATTGTTGTTGTTATTGTTGTTCCTCTAACTAGGTAATTTCAAATGACCTGTCTTCAAGCTTGCTGACTTTTATTTTCTTGAAGCTTAATCAAGTCTGACACTTCTGTTTTTTTATTTAATTTTTCAGCTCAGTCATTGTATTCTTCAGCTCTAGAATTTCTGCTTTTTAAAATATAGTTCCTGTCTCTGTTGAATTTCTCATTTTGTTCAAGTATTATTTTCTTGGTTTTGTTGAGTTGTTTACCTGTGTTCTCACTGAGCATCTCTCAGATGATTATTCTGAATTCTTTGTCAGGCAATTTTCAGATTTTCATTTCTTTAG